GTGGCGGCTCCATTAAAAAATAAAATGTTAGCGTCATCCAGTCGTGATCCCGGTTACGACAATTATTGACAAAACACAATAACTAAGAAAATGTACAATGTTATAGGTTCAGCTCGTCTCAACTCGATAACATTTGGCTCAATTGCAGTTCAACTCGAGTTTAGTATGAACCTTTTTTTCCGCTTGAACTCGACTTGATTCAAGCTTGCTAGTTGCTCGATTCAGCTCGTTTGCTTGAATCATATGATTGTTAATATTTTTTTAAAAGACAAAATATAACATATTCTATTAGTTTTGAAAGATTATAGGGTACAACTCTAAACAAACATGATTACAAATAAAATCTATATAAATTAAAAACCACTTCACCATACATAAAATACTAGAAAATTCAATCCATAACTATGAAATTCTAAAGTTTGCACTCTTTTAATTTATTATTATTATTAACTTATAACTATAAGTTTTGAAAGTTCTTTTAAATTTTAATAAGCTAAAATTATAAAAAAATAATTAATTATATAAATCATATATTTATATGTTGAGTGACTTCATGAACTACATGAGTTGAATTATATAAAATTCAAGTTTAGCTTATTTATTTATCAAGTTCAATCTTTAACTCAAGTTCAACTCATTGATTCATGAACCGAGTTTAAATAATTAATTATCAAATCAAATTTTAAACTATTTTTAAATTGGTTCAATTCACTGTCACCCTTACTTACAATCATAAAACTTCAGCATGGAATTCATGTCTTAATTAATAATTAAAAAATTATGAAGTGTTATTTTAGATTAGTAGTTCTAGAAAGAGAGATATATAAATAACATATAATGTATAATTGTTCCACTATTTTCCTATATTTCCATGCCGAAAATAAGCAAAAGAACTTATATCACTAATCATTGTGCTTCTAGCACTTGCAAATATTTTTTATATAGTGTATTATTGTTCCACTATTTTCCTATATTTCCATGTCAAAAATAAGCAAAAGAACTTATAACACTAATCATTGTGCTTCTAGCACTTGCAAATATTTCTTGATAAAAATGAGCTAAATTACGTAAGTTGGGTGGTAATTAAAATTTTAAAATTATGCAAGTTTAATGGCAAATGTGCAAAACTACTATATTAAAAAATGTACTTTCTCACAAACACCAGTTCACTATTTAAAGTTTGTCGTCATACATTTGACGCCGGAATAAAATATGTAAAATTACGTAATTTAGACGACAAAATGTGAAATTATATAAATACAGTGATAAAATATACAAATAAAATAGTTAAATGAGAAAATTATAGAAAAAAAATGCACTATTAAGCCAACAAATTTATGTCGTGCACTTTGTGAAATTTCTTTCATAGTTTTACTCAACAGATAAACTCAAAGTATTCACGTATACCAAATAAATTATAAAGAAATGTTTTGACATAATAAGATGGTGAAAAGAAAGGAAAAAAAAATATTTCTAAAAGTGAAACTTCCTCTTTCTCTCTCTCTCTTCTTTTTTTTTTTCATTTTTAATTCAACTAAAAAAATCCCTTATCTATATTTTCTCTTTACTTACTTTCCTCTCATCAAAATGTACCATTAAGTATGAATAAATGAAATGGGTTAATTTTCCAAATTATGGTGCATAACACCTTTAAAAAATAAGATAATTGAAAACCAAAGAAAAAAGAAAGGAAAAGCAAGACATGTTATTTTAACACGTGATTGCTTTCATGCGAATATTAAGGGGTCGATTTCGTTGTACAGGCTCCCTAAGATTTGTAATGTTGCAGAGGTCGAAAAGAAAATTTTCTCTAAATCTATTCCATATATTCTCAAAAAGTATAAAGTTCTTAAAGCATAAACTCTCCACTGGTTATTGATCCATGATAGTAAGAAACTATATATTTCATCTTATAGACTTCGAATGTTTGTGCGTACATGCAAATTCTCTAACCTTCATGCTAACAAAATTATCCATGCATGCATACATGCTTATTGTGCATTTGTCATCATTAGATTTAACGTTATTCCTTTGTTCATATTTGTAATTGTAACATTAAGCCATTGTTTTTCTTTGGCAATCTCATTGTTAACAGGTTTTACTATATTCATAACTACATAGAAAGGATAACATATATAGAAGGAGGGTAAACAATGCCTCTACCAGCAGAATTCATGGATGTTGCAGACTCTGATTTTCTCAGTAACAAAGAACTTGACGATGAAGACTCGGAATTTGAGACTGACTTTGAGAATTACTTTGTGTTCTCCGCTGCCAAGAACCGCTTCTTTGGCAGGAGAAGGCCTCTTCGTGTGACCTTAGGCTCTGGATTGAGTATGCTCTCCTGTTTCTTTTACATTCCTTCATGCATGACATGCTTGGTAAGTTTCTTTGGTCTCGCAAAATGTTGAAGATCTCATACCAATTCAGTGGTATGGTTACAATTGACTAATTGAGTATATAATTGGGTAGCAATTATAACTTTAAAAGTCGGTTTTGTAAAATTGAATTAGGTTAAAGCGCGCCTATATTCTAAAATAGCATCAAAATCTATCCTACTAATTGTTTGTTAAGTCTATTGTACCACCCATTATTGGATCACATGTCTAGTCTTGCAAACTTTATATTCCAGATGTTCAGTTCTCGATGTAATAGATGTATGTTAGAGACTGTACATCAACTAATAATATGATCATGATAAAGTATATAAATAGGGATAAATCCTCATCTTATAAGCCGATTTTATAAGGTTGAGTTAGACTAATCATGTTTTGACAAAAATTACATTGAATCTGCAGTTAACTTAATCTCAGGGTGTGAATTAGAAAGTACAGTATCTGCTTATTACACAGAACATGCTGAAAAAACTAACTGTTCAGGTTATGGTAAAAATCTATGGTTAATCTTGGTTTTATTCTGCTTAGTTGCTGATATTATACTCTGGAGGAACAATAAGATCTCAGGAAGCATTCTTGCTGGTGTAACTTTCATATGGATGTTTTTTAAGAGGATGGATTACACCCTGATTAGTTTCATTTGTGATTCCCTCATACTCCTACTGGCAATGCTGTTCCTCTGGAGCCATTTAACATCCTTCATTAAGATGTGAGTTTAATGCACTCTATGAATCAGTTGTTAAATTTTATTTATTTTTCTTATGGTATGGTAATCTAATATTTGAAACTTAAATCCAGCTAATCTAACTTGCTATTTGTAAATGATTTTTATAAAGCAGTTCTATAATCATTTGTAACATCCCATCAAGTTATATATTCATATTCAAATTTCGAGTAACAATCTATTATGACACAATTCCCCCTATTTCATCTATAATTTGAGTACCATGCCAAATCTAGATTCATCACTACATCCAGGGTGCTTTTTCTTGTCTTTTTTTTTTTTGCTGTTTCTTGTCTTTGGTAGATATGATAATGAAATAATAGGTTTAAATTAAATAATTTTTATTATCTTTTCATCTCGCTTGTCCTTATTTTCATTTCTACCATACACAAATAAAATTGCATTGTTGAAAGCACCCTGATACTTGTTTTACAAAAGACCAAATCGAGCCCCAAAACAGTTTTGCATCACTTCCAAGCTTGTTGCAAGAAGCAACTTGAGTTAGTTACTAGTTTCCTTGTTCTTCGTGATGTTGTTAATTGACACTATAGTTTCAATTCATGCCTGTGTCAAACTTATCACATTGGTTGAGGAATCAAAATTATTTTTTTTTATTGAAAAGTGTAGTAACAGACTCTTTCGGGTAACTTAAACATATTTTTTACCGAAAAACTTTTTATATTTTGATTTCTTAAGCAGTTCCTTGACCACCAATGTTTTTTTTCTTACCCAAAATTTTTTTCTTCTGTATCCCCCTCTACTTTCTTGTGTTGATTACTTTATTTTCATTGAATGTGTTTGTCTACACACCTAGTTGGATTATTGTTTTACACCAAGAAATGATGTCATTTTCTTGTTAATGCAGACCACCACCACCTGAATTATCAGCATTCATCTTACCCAAAGGGTTGCTTGTCAATATTGCTATTTCAGTGACACGTAAACTTAACCAACTACTCATAGCATTTGGAGTCCTAGCTTCCGGACGAGATATGAAGAAATTTCTCATGGTGCTTTTCAGCATTCTGCTAAGCTTGCTTACTCATTTTGACACAGTCTCATTTGGTTTTCTCTGACAAGAAAGTTATCTGCAGGTTACAGTCACATTGGGAGCTGTCTCAGTTCTTGACTGTTGGTTCACTGCTGCAACTCTAATCTACATAGGTCAGCTATCTACATTCAAATTACAAAACATCAACAATTTGCAATAGCCTAATTCATGCAGCTATTTGTTATAAAAGTGACATTCTACGTATGAAGCACATGCTCCAATAGTCCAACATGGATACCTGACACAATGGACATTGAACACACACCAACATGATAAAAATCTAAATTGAGAATTAAGATTTATAAAGTTGTTAACTTTTACAAATTTAAAATGATTCCAATTTTATATTATTTATAATACAATACAATACAAGTTGCTTTTTCTATTAAAAAAAATTAGCTCACTCTCTTTCGTGAAGTGCGGTGTTCGAGCAGGGTCTGCCATTTTGAATAATGTCTAAGTTTTACTTTGACCTAAGCTTTATTCATAGTGGCTAAGCATTGTTTTTAGGTTAAGCATTAAGATGTTATTGTTTCTATCTTGAGTGGTTAAGCACTTTGTTTTTGCTATTACTCTTGATGGTTAACCTGTTACTTCTACCTTATAGTGATTAAGCATTTTCATTGGTTTGTACTTTTGCCACATAATTAAACTTTGAGGTTTAGTCTGTACTTAGTGGTTAAGCTTTTGCTTTTTGGCTTTGATGATTTCAACTTCTACCTCGAGCGGTAGTTAAAACATTTGTTCATGTCTTTTTCAGCCGGTGAATTCCCGACAATTTCATTATATTTGATTTAGTTTGATATGCCCTTGTATTCTCCATCCTAAGTAAGAAGTGTTGTGAACAAATTCCAGATTGTGTGGACTAACAAAGATGTAATTTGTAATTAGTAGTTGGCCTATATAAAGTCTCTCACAAAATCATACTGTGAATACACTTACTGATTCAATCAGATAACATTTCCCTTCTATATCAGATTCTCTTTTTTTATTTTCTCTTTTGAACCATGAATTCTAGCAGGGTGTCCATGTTTTATAGCATCCCACACATGCAAAGATTCGTGTGTATAAAATGGTTCTTCTGAGGTGCAAGTTAGTACTAATTTGCTTTCTCCTTTGGTCTAATGGTGTAGTGTTCGTGATATTGCTGATAGTGCCATCGGTATATGAAAAGCATGGGGACATTATTGACATCCTTGTTGAGAAAGCACTGTTTGACTTGAAAAATCTATATGCAGATTTGGTGAAAAAGGTTTTCGGAAAACCGCAACACTTGGAAGAGCGCATTCTGGACTAGAGCGCATCATGGTGCTTTAGCTTCTCCATCGAGGTTGTAAACAAGATGTGCACAAAACGTTGCCACATAGTTGTATTAGTAGTTGCAACTAGTATTCTTACAAAGTCTTGCCCATCATGTTCAGTAATTTTGATCTAGCCTTTACAACAATTTTTGTACACCATTTTTACATTGATTAATGGTGTTTAAACTTGTGGTTAACATGTTTTATGTAATTAACAGAAATATCAATAGATTTGATGGAAATATCATTTGATTGTTGATTATTAGGATTCGATTATATACTTTTAACCACATTATATGCATTGTTAACCAAAAACTTGTGCAGGGTTAACCCTTTGTAAAAATTATACACAACAATTAATGTGCAATAATCATTTTCCATATTTGAGTGTTGTTGGTTATTGATGAAACATACCCAAGACTCCGTAACCATGGTCTGTTTGAGTAAATTTCTTTATAAAGAGCAAAATAAAAAAGATTTTTTTTTCATAAGTTAAAATTAACTAATATATAAATTATCTTGTAGAAACTCTCCTATTAATTTTTCCAAAACCTTATTTTTAACTCATGTATAAATTAATTTTAACTTTTTTTCATTTTTTTTTCATTTTTCTCTTCTAAAGTATTTCTGAAAAAGTTTATCCAAATAATCTCATATAAATTATCAATTATCATATTGTAGTTGCTTTCGGTATATTATTTAATTTAATTTTCCATCCCCTCTTGCCGGCAGAAATAGGTCCAATATTGGTTCGCAGAAAGAAGCCTGATCCATCAGCAGAATCTAGTCTAAGGTTGGGGAAGGTGACCAGCAATGTCTAGGAAAAAAAAAAAAAAAAAACCATGACTACTTGATGTATGACACAGACTTGTGGAAGAAATGAATTAAGGGGACGATTTTACATTGTACAACCTTCAAGAAATACAGAAAACATGTTCCACTTCCATGAATTATAAAGAAACCTAGTGGTTCTTCTTTCCCTTAAAGCATAACTGCATTATACTACGGAAATTTTCAGCATATATCTGATCATTTTCTTTCAGCATTATCTGATCTGATCATTCCTTTCTACACCACTGGATGGATTTACTTGTAAATGTGCAAGTTCAAATAAAACTTTTTGCTCATCTATGCATGAAATCCAATATCCTTGCACTTAGCTGGCTTTCTCGTCTAGTACTATTTGTATCAAAGTGGATTATGGGGTTTATTTTACTACTTGCCAATTCAGTATGTGCAGTTACACATGAAGAGACATAATTAAGCTATGGGAGTTGGATGTTCTGGAGAAAAAATCAGCAGTTGGATATTTGTGGATCTCTAGGCAAAGACAGAGGCTAAAAGCAATTGCTAAAAAAGTTGTAATTAGCCCTTCCATCACACAATTGCATCACTGCCCTCAATAGTTTCTTAGATTCAAACATTTAAGATGACGATGTCCAACCCCAAAAAAAAATGCCTACAAACCACATTATGCCCCAGCAGATTTCCATACACTATGATAATCAAACCCTTGTTAACCACAAAAAGTGCAAGAAGGAAAAATATGGACAGCAAGTATCTGTAATTAGGAGGACAAGCTCCAAAATAAAAGCAGGGTAAATCAACTAAGCCGCTAGATTAGGCTGATTCAGGTTCAGTGTTTTCAGGGCATTGGATAGTTAGCAGACAAGGCTCTGAAATTTTTAGGTAAGCCTTTAGATGTCAATGGATAAAGTGTAAAGTGCACATTTGAGGCAAGTTCATTTGATGAACAGTTCTTTGAAGCCCTTACACACAAGCCTTAAATTAAATAATCTAAATTTGAGAACCTCTTTACCATAGAAGTCAGTTTATTCAAAAGACAAAAAGATGTAATAAGTTTCGGGCCTTCACATACATTTCTAGAAACATAGGACATCTTACGTCAATCTCAAACAATATCTATACTTAACTCATTTGGAGGCATAAAATGCAATTCCTAGAACTTAGAACCTAAGGACAACACATCAATTTTAACAAACATACTACCTTCCAAAAATTACAAAACTGAATGCAAATTTAGCCAACTCCAACTACCATCCAGTTACACTTGAGCAAAAACCATTAGAGAAAAAGATTTACCAAGCACTGAAACAGTGTGGATAAATAATATCTTAAGGCTTCACCTCTTTCTGAACAGGGGGCAAGAAGGGTTCCCACCACCCAAATTCATATTTAGGATACGGTGCCACCCATTTTTCAGGCTTCTCAAACTCCAGATTAGTAGGATTGAAAGCTAATGCTTCTTCTAGGCTCTCAGCTTCAAAACTATCGGATAAAACTCGGTCCAGTCTCAACTTCATGAATCTGCCAAAAGTCCAAAACATACACAGGGACATAGTTACAATGTGGCTGAAACATCAAAAGCTGGCATGATGCTATGTTGATGACTTTATTGCAGCATACACTACTTTCTCACATCATAGTTTCATATATAATTTGAAAGGGTGGAGCTCCTATCAGCAGAACCTAAACATTGAAAGTAAAGGGGGGAAACAGAAACCCTTTATTCACATTTAACAATTGGCAGCTCCAAGATTGACAAATTAAAAAAGAAGCAAATGATCAATTCTTGCTTGAGAAGTAAGAATCACCATGATGCAAGCACATAAAAAGGTATCTACTTTAGACAGGCTTAGCTTAGGCAGTTAACCATAGGTGGGTGGAGATTTGTCTAGAGGTTCTATATAGAATGGCTTACAATGAAAGAATACATCCACACGCACAATTTGGATATGACATGAAAGAATTTCCCTCCTTTCATAGTTTATAACAGCCAATCTAAGCATCAATGAAGCATCACATTTTCAAGTATACTCCCCACAGGGTTTAAAGCAATTGTAGAATGTTCTTACGTGATCCAGGTACCATTGGTTGACACAAGAGCAACAGCAGGTCTCTTTAATCTCTTGGTAATGTTAGGGAACTTATCCAAGAACTTAGGCTCAATGACAAGCCAGAAATCCTGCTCTTTATTACGCTCTCCAAAGAGACGAAGCCTCTCAAACAATTGCTCTTGGAAATGCTCTTCCTCATCCAACATAAACTTTGCATTTGCAACAACAAAATAATACTTGTTGGATTCATCCTGCAAAGACAAAGCAAACAAAAAATAAACTAATTACCATCAAAACCCAATTAAAAAATTACATCATCAACCGTTTTCTCTCATGACAAGGATAACAGTAACACCACTCAATAGAGAACAACATAGGACTGACACCAAATTGAAAAAATAAATTATTTAATTACCCTTTCGTTCCCTATATTTTCATCAACTTTATCTTTTAGTCTCTATAATTAAAAATATCTCATTTTAATCCTTATATATTTTCTTTTCCTTTTAGTCTTTATAGTTTTATAAATTTTATCTCTCTGTCCCTATAGAAATAGACGACATGGATTAAAAGGGAACAAAAATGAGTAAACACTCACTTTGGTCCCTAAATTTGGAATACAATATCATATTGGTCCTGAAACTAAGAAATTGTCAAATAAGTCCCTAGAATGTGAAATAAGTCTTTGAATTTAACTACTTATTATCATTTTAGTCCCAAAATATATGTATCAATATTATTATTCTAGTCACATTTTAGTCCCTAAACACATTCTAGTCACACTTTCAAAGACATATTTTACATTTTCTAGTTTCTGATACTAATATGACAAACGCATTACAAATTGAGGGACCAATTTGGTGTTTATTCGAATAAAATTGGTATGTATAAAGACTAAAATAAACGTTTTTAACTATAAAGACTAGTAGGTAAAGTTAATGAAAATATAGGAACAAACTAGTAATTAAACCAAAATAAATAAATAAATAAATAACTAAACTTGAGCACAAATTCAATGTGGGGTCGGAGTTTAAGAGAGGAAGAGACCTTGGTGGGAGGATCAGATGAATTGAGCTGGTCAGAATCCACAGAAGCAACAGCTGTAGTGAAGGGGCGCGCATGTGTTGTTGGTCCACTGAAGGAAGAGAGAAAGGTGCAATTTTGGTTTGTGGGAGACACCAAACTCATGGGCAAGGAGTGAGTCCTGTTAGGAACAGTGTGCCTTCTGGTTCCAGTGGCTGAGGCAAGAGTGGTGGTGGGGTGTTGTTGAGCATGGTTCTGAGCCACCAATGTGGATGATGAACCCAAAGTAAGAGTGGCCACACCCAGCATCGTGGTCTTCTACCCTCAAAACTTTTCCAAACTTTCTCTTGTTACTCAATCTCAAGTTGGGAGAAGATAGGAAGAGAAAGAATGCTTGTGTTTGTGTTGAGGGCTTAGGACAAGAAGTGAAGGCAGCAAATGACGCATGGACAATGGCCAATGGGACAAGTTGGGAGATATCAACGACAACCTTATCTAGTTATCTAAATCTACCTACGTTACTTGCCTTTCTAGTTACTTTCCTAATATTTAAATCACCTTGGTGTCTATACAATTTACTATTTATTAAAAATTGAAGATAAAAATGTTCAACAAAAAAAATTCATAATATCCACCGAAGATATCTTGGTAAAAAAAATATAATTCCTCATGAATCATAAAATAAGTTGAAAATGTTGGCAGGTCAATTTACTAGATATTGACCTCTCATAATAGTAAGTTGAAAATTTATTTAATATATTAATATTTAGAAAAATTCTTCCTTATCCTTATATATTTAAAAGATTTTTAAATTATTTTTTTTAAATATGTGAAAATTTAATATTTTAGAGTAATTTGATTTTTAGGATGTTTATCCTTTTTATTTAAATATATATTTTCTTAAAATTCTTAATATATATATATA